GATTATTGATCATTGTAGTGGAGGTTTTTATAAAATGCAATTTTTATATATATATATCTAGTTTAGTTCTAGTTCAGTTGTAGATCAATTCTAGTTTAGTTCTAGTTCAGTTCTATTTCAGTTTTAGTTCAGTTCTAGTTCAATTCTAGTTCAGTTCTGGTTCAGTTCTAGTTCAGTTCTAGTTCAATTCTAGTTCAGTTCTAGTTCAATTCGAGTTCAGTTCTAGTACAGTTCTAGTTCAGTTCCCGTTCAGTTCTAGTTCATTTCTAGTTCAGTTCTAGTTCAATTCTAATTCAGTTTTAGTTCAATTCTAGTTCAGTTCTATTTCAGTTCTAGTTCGGATCTAGTTCAGTTCTAGTTCAATTCTAGTTCAATTCTAGTTCAATTCTAGTTAAGTTCTATTTCAATTCTAGTTCAATTCTAGTTCAGTTCTAGTTCAATTCTAATTCAGTTCTAGTTCAGTTCTAGTTCAATTCTAGTTCAGTTCTAGTTCAGTTCTAATTCAGTTCCAATTCAGTTCTATTTCAGTTCTAGTTCTGTTCTAGTTCAGTTCTAGTTCAGTTCTAGTTCAGTTCTAATTCAGCTCTAGTTCAGTTCTAGTTCAGTTCTAGTTAAGACCTAGTTCAGTTCTAGTTCAGTTATTGTTCAGTTCTAGTTCAGTTCTAGTTCAATTCTAGTTCAGTTCTAGTTCAATTCTAGTTCAGTTCTAGTTCAGTTCCCGTTCAGTTCTAGTTCATTTCTAGTTCAGTTCTAGTTCAATTCTAGTTCATTTCCAGTTAAGATCTAGTTCAGTTCTAGTTCAATTCTAGTTCAATTCTAGTTCAGTTCTAGTTCAATTCTAGTTCAGTTCTAGTTCAATTCTAGTTCAATTCTAGTTCAGTTCTAGTTCAGTTCTAATTCAGTTCCAGTTCAGTTCTATTTCAGTTCTAGTTCTGTTCTAGTTCAGTTCTAGTTCAGCTCTAGTTCAGTTCAGTTCTAGTTCAATTCTAGTTAAGTCCTAGTTCAGTTCTTGTTCAGTTCAGTTCTAGTTCAATTCTAGTTCAGTTCTAGTTCAGTTGTATGTAGTTCAATTCAAGTTCAGTTCTAGTTCAGTTCAATTCTGGTTCTAGTACGATTTCAATAATTAGCAAGTAATTTATCCGTCTTTTTCTTCCACATTATTAACAATTTTAAGAAATATTTAAATTATTAAAAAAATAGACTTTATTACCTTTCCAATGATGTATAATATGTGGTGTCGAAGTATTCATTATCCCTTAATTTACACCAACAAATTTCTTAAAAACTTGTCTAGAAGTTTTAGTTAAAATAAACAGAGCTTACTATGCGCTTCTCATTTTTTCATGTACCACCTGCTAAAGGAGCTTTGTTGTTGTGTGGTTTTTTTTTGAACAATTTAATGTGTAAGAGGTCTTAAGTAAACTTTTCGAAACGACAAAGCACGCATTGTTTAGCATTTGTTTTGTAACGAAAGTGTAGTTTTTCGCGTTGATAGAATGGGTATAAGATTTTTTTTAAAATATAATTTATACAAATATTTTTTTTTTTGTTTAAATGAACAGTTTTTTTTATATAAAAAAATAAAACTGAATAGAAAACTTAAGTTTAAACCTCGTGCTGAAAGATTTAAACATTTAACTAATTAAACACCTAAAATGAAACTTAAACTTTCAAAAATTTTATTTTACCATCAAAGAAAGGCTATCAAATGTCACCATGTCAGTCAGTCATTCGTTCGCAATTCATTTTACCGCCTTTTTGGTTAAATTTTTAAATCATGCCAAAAATATCTGTCTCTTTCATTTTCTCCTAAAAATATCAACAATTTTTCTCTAAATACAGTTATGATCGAAATTACAATAACTATAACATCTTAAGAACATCTTCCACGAACTGCGGAATGTTATTGATATTTACCCTATATTCGCGAGGAAAGCCCGATCAGGTTCTGTCGAGTTTTTTTCGCCGTTTATCTACTTTTCGAGAATATTAGCATACTATCGGTATGAACTATTATTTTTACCAACGCTGTCTGCCTATTCATTATTCACACATGAATTAAAGTGTAATAGTGAAATTTTGTAACATTTTGCGCTGGACAGCACGAATAGCAAAAAGATTCTTCATCACAAATATTAGACCCAAAAAGAAAAAAAAAAAAAAACATTGCAATAGCACCCACACACACATTAACTTACTTTCATAGCAGCCAAACTCAAATATTGTGAATTTATTTGTTGTTAGTTCTCTTTGGCCCTGGCAACATGTTGAACTGACTGACTGGCACTATTTTCAGTATCTGCAACTGACTGTATTTTCCAAATATGACCATGGATTTACAAGCAAACGCACCGAGGCATTCATACAAACACACTCATTTCATAGTGTCTATGTAGAGTGTCTGAGTGTCCCTATATGGGAAGTGTACTTGTGTGGGCGATTGTCAGTTAGTGAGATGACTGGCCCTTAGGGAATACATGTAAAACCCCATACATTTCAAGTAGTTGAATTGAGAAAAAAAAAAAATCAAAATGTTTCAGTTTTGTTGTGTCAAAGCCTATAGGGAGAATTTCTAACTTTGTTTTCACTTTTTTCTTTTTTTTATTAATTGTAACATGGTTTTTGATTGGTTTGATTTTTAGAAATGAAATCAAAACAACAATTTGTAAAATAGAGAAATTTGTTTAAAAACTTTTTCATGCAAAACAAGTTTTAAATTTAAAGAGGCAGAATCAGATGAAATTTTAAGCTAAAACTAAATTTTTAATACTAACTAACTAACTAACTAACAAGACTATTGACTAAAGTATAGAATAGACTAAACTATAGAATGAATTATAGTCTAGACTAGACTATAGACTAGACTATAGACTAGACTATAGACTAGACTATAGACTAGACTATAGACTAGACTATAGACAGACTATAGACTAGACTATAGACTAGACTATAGACTAGACTATAGACTAGACTATAGACTAGACTATAGACTAGATATAGACTAGACTATAGACTAGACTATAGACTAGACTATAGACTAGACTATAGACTAGACTATAGACTAGACTATAGACTAGACTATAGACTAGACTAACTAGACTAGACTATAGACTAGACTATAGACTAGACTATAGACTAGACTATAGACTAGACTATAGACTAGACTATAGACTAGACTATAGACTAGACTATAGACTAGACTATAGACGAGACTATAGACTAGACTATAGACTAGACTATAGACGAGACGATAGACTAGACTATAGACTAGACTATAGACTAGACTATAGACTAGACTATAGACTAGACTATAGACTAGACTATAGACTAGACTATAGACTAGAACTATAGACTAGACTATAGACTAGACTATAGACTAGACTATAGACTACTATAGACTAGACTATAGACTAGACTATAGACTAGACTATAGACTAGACTATAGACTAGACTATAGACTAGACTATAGACTAGACTATAGACTAGACTATAGACTAGACTTGACTATAGACTAGACTATAGACTAGACTATAGACTAGACTATAGACTAGACTATAGAACTAGAACTATAGACTAGACTATAGACTAGACTATAGACTAGACTATAACTTAGACTATAGACTAGACTATAGACTAGACTATAGACTAGACTATAGACTAGACTATAGACTAGACTATAGACTAGACTAGACTAGACTATAGACTAGACTATAGACTAGACTATAGACTAGACTATAGACTAGACTATAGACTAGACTATAGACTAGACTATAGACTAGACTATAGACTTGACTATAGACTAGACTATAGACTAGACTATAGACTAGACTATAGACTAGACTATAGACTAGACTATAGACTAGACTATAGACTAGACTATAGACTAGACTATAGACTAGACTATAGACTAGACTATAGACTAGACTACAGACTAGACTATAGACTAGACTATAGACTAGACTATAGACTAGACTATAGACTAGACTATAGACTAGACTATAGACTAGACTATAGACTAGACTATAGACTAGACTATAGACTAGACTATAGACTAGACTATAGACTAGATAGATAACTAGACTATAGACTAGACTATAGACTAGACTATAGACTAGACTATAGACTAGACTATAGACTAGACTATAGACTAGACTATAGACTAGACTATAGACTAGACTATAGACTAGACTATAGACTAGACTATAGACATAGACTATAGACTAGACTATAGACTAGACTATAGACTAGACTATAGACTAGGACTATAGACTAGACTATAGACTAGACTATAGACTAGACTATAGACTACTAGACTAGGAATAGACTAGACTATAGACTAGACTATAGACTAGACTATAGACTAGACTTATAGACTAGACTATAGACTAGACTATAGACTAGACATAGACTAGACTATAGACTAGACTATAGACTAGACTATAGACTAGACTATAGACCTAGACTATAGACTAGAACTATAGACTAGACTATAGACTAGACTATAGACTAGACTATAGAATAGGACTATAGACTAGACTATAGTACTAGACTATAGACTAGACTATGACTAGACTAATAGACTAGACTATAGGACTAGACTATAGGACTAGGGACTATAGACTAGACTATAGACTAGACTATAGACTAGACTATAGACCTAGACTATAGACTAGACTATAGACTAGGGACTAGAGACTAGACTAGACTAGACTATAGACTAGACTATAGACTAGACTATTAGACTAGACTATAGACCTAGACTATAGACTAGACTATACAGACTATAGACAGACTATAGACTAGACTATAGACTAGACTATAGACTAGACTATAGACTAGACTATAGACTAGACTATAGACTAGACTATAGACTAGACTATAGACTAGACTATAGACTAGACTATAGACTAGACTATAGACTAGACTATAGACTAGACTATAGACTAGACTATAGACTAGACTATAGACTAGACTATAGACTAGACTATAGACTAGACTAT